CAGTTTGGCAGGTTCTATGTTAAAAGTGGTTATAAAAAGCTGGCTGCTGTGAGGTTGGTTCATCTCTACGGATACGTTTCCTGTGACACACGACAAGTCTCTTATTGGTCTTACTGGGGCTGTGGCTTGTACCGCGAGGGACTGGGCAAGATTAATGTTGTCATAACAAACTCAGACAATCAAGTTCTTTTGCCACCAAGCGAGTTCATCGTAAATGATGGTGCTAAATGGTCCAAGATTCCTGGATATGACTCACTTTCCACAGAGTTAGTGCTGTCGTTTTTCAGCCCCTCCCACGTCGGCTACCACCAAGAGTTACGAGTGTGGTATGGCGAGGATCTAATGAATGCTGGCGAGGGAGACAATGGAGGCACCGCTTGCGTTGATGTATATGCAATTTTCGTCTGAGCTTTCACTGAGCAGCAAATAGTCGTAATAAAACTTTTCATGGCTTTTTAAGTGATGGAATCATAAACTAGAAAAGTGCTTACTTTGATATCAAGTTTAAAACCGGCCTGCTTTTGGGACCAGTCCTTATTTGCCGCCGGGGAGAAGGGGAGGGAAGGAGGGGGTGGGGGTGCTAAGGGTTTGATTGTCGTCGGGATCACATATTTTCAAGGGGAAATGAAGGAGGGGGGGATAATTCCTCGATAACAGAGTATAAAGGGACGATTGTAAAAAATTGGGTGTTCCCTTTTTTCCATTCATCCACTGTCCCCTCCGGCCTCCCCTCTTCCCTTCTAATAAGGTCTATTGTTCGTAGAAATAATCCGAAACCTCCCCTCCCCTCCCCCAGGGCGATGAATAATGACTGGTCTCCAAGGAAAACAATTTCATAGGTTAAAAACTATAAATACAAGTGTAATGCATTTAACCCCCTAGTTGTGCTCTTAATCAAATGTAGTTTCCTGTTATCGTGTGTTCCGGAAAATTGTAATTTGTCAGATTGCTTTTAAACGAGGGGTGTACCTTAAAAGTAGAAACCACGTTTCAAGGGCAGATACATGCAGTGTCAACTTTATGTTATGTAACAAAAGCATTTTTCACAAGCAAAATAAAAGAGTAACTGCATTCCGATCGAGTGAATTTTCTTTCTTTCCAGGCCTAGGGATTCACGTTGGGGATTCGTCTTCTCCTCTTCAATCTAAATGCGTGTAAAATGTAACAAAATCGTAAAATCAGTTAAATTTGAAATAAAGAAAGGCGCTTTAAAAAGGAGTTAAAACGGATCACAAATTCGAAATTATTTTCAAATCTGCAAGCGCATAGGCTGTTGCGAGCCTATATTTTTTGAATCCTCAGCTGAGTATGGGTAACTGGCTTCCAATTTCTACAGTGTTACCCTTGAATCATGCATAAGGTCATGAGAATAAAGAAAATGATCACCAATTTAAGAAGCTCCTGATTGCCAAACAAATTCTCCTTCCTAATACCACAGGAAATGTGAAGAGATTATGACTACTAATGCATGGTTTAAGAGGTTAATTTATGCGAAGTTGGTATGGCAACTAAGTTAGTTGGCGGGGGTTGCTTACGTACTGACATTCCATCGAAACGAGCAGTCTATTAGTACACAATGCATAGAAGAAAGGAAATTGATACGACTGTGTTAACTGTTTGAAAGTTTTTTTACAATTAGTTGCAAAAAGGGTATTTCAACTAAGGAAATCGACGTACTTTACCTTCCAAATGGTGAGGGTTGATCAAAATTTGTAACAACTGCTCAACGCTTGAATGATTTTACCACATTTTCAATGGCTTCCCTACGGTTTGTTTACTTTTGCGTTTTCTTTACAAATCGTGTCCTATTTCCACAGCCGGCCGGTCATAAATCTGGTAAGGTTAGGAAATCGGGCAAGAGTAGAAGTCGAAGCAGAGGAGCCAGTAGCAGCCCTTCGAGAAAAGGTGGAAAGAAAGGTGGCAAAAAGTCTCGATCGCCGTCCCCTTTGAAAACCAAGCGTGATGTGGATCTGTTGAGTCCTGATGCAATGGTTAATGGTTACTATATTGCACACAA